ATCAGACTCTCATCTCCAACAACGAGATGTTACGGGATATAACTTGTACAACTTTCACTAGGCTCTGACTCTGCATGCACTTGGATCAAATGCATCAAAACAAAGAAAAAGCATGCATATCCACGATGATTTGATGAAACCAGAGACGTATAATCTCTTATGAAACATAACAAGCAGGTTGTATCAGAAAAAAGGGAAGTAACTCTTAGAAGAGTTAGAAATTGCTTTTATTACGAATTGTAGTAATATTACGATTTTTCGTATTGGACTGGACTGTGAAAGAAAGGAACTTGTTTTAGATCTAGATTAAACCATGTCATCATTTGTTTTGTTTAAAAACTGAATGAACATTCAGAATTATTGCTTCTAGGCTATATCAGCAAAGATCACTCTTCAAAAGGCTAAGTAAAGCAGCTAATCCAAGCAAAATGATGAGCATTAAAAATATTTGAAATTGTACAATTTATATCAAACTTAAGGTGTTTCTGTCTTCTTCTTTGCTGTTGATATTTAAGATTAATTAGTGTAGGTACCTGATTTCATTTAAGGCTTATAATATACATGTATAGTACATGAAAGTTATCGATAATCCAAGCGTTAAACAACACGCGCGCAATGCTACCACTTTTGAGGTCTGAATCTCCCTTTTTTTCATCACAATAGGTTAACATGTATGATTATATGTAATATAATTTTGATATCTGGTATATATTTCTGAATACGAAACCTGTATGATGCATTTCTTATGATATGCAAGTTCAAATAGTATCAATATATTGCGTGTCTAACGTACGCTTGTGGAAGAGAATTGATTTTTATATTTGAAATGTACGTTACGTATGGTAACGTACATTTCACGAATTTCTATAACTGACATTTTTTTTATTTAGTCAATGAATTGCGTTTACACGAGCGAAACAAAATTATCGTTACAATCCATTTGACAACTGGCCACATAAATCCATCTAAATGCACCCCAAATCCTCGTAAATGTTTTAGACGGTTACCACATGCTAGAAAATTTATTTCTAAGTGTCTTAAATTCATCTTTGGCAACCTTTTTGCAGTTTGTTTACTTTTAATATGCGACTTTTCGTCAATATTAATTTAATTGTTGTTGATAATTTAAAACAAGGTATGCATAGGCTTATAATTGGTAAAAAAACAAAACAAAAAAAAAACAAAAAATAATAAAAAGAAAAAAAAAACAAATAAACCCAGAATACAAGACGGTCACGTACATTTCAAATACTGAAAGGCACACAATACTCAGTTTTGTTTGAATCATTGCATTTTGGGTTATATTTTTCCAGATCTGCTGAAAAGCACGCATGTTTGTGTTTTGAAAAACGATGTTGCAACATACTAAATGAAATTGTTAACAAGACCGTCGATGGATATATTCGGAATAGATTTATGTTAAGTTTCAATGGCCAAACACGAGCATTTGTTAGATCATAGCAAAATACGTCTGACTCTTATACTTTTTTTTGTTTGTACCCTTGCACACAGGTAGAAGTAACTAGGCTTCTAGTGACCGGTGTCAATTTTAGCGAAACAGCACAAGAGAATGGTAATGAACTGAGGTGGAGGGGACTCCCAAATAATATGTGAAATGAACGTTACCGAAGTGACGTGACATTCATGTAGTTGATGACAAATAACCTAGTTTGTTACATTATGATTTCTTAAATTACTGCCTTAAAACGCTTCATTGAAATTATTTTTATGTCAATAATTGCTTTTTTTCAATATTTTCTTATTACTAATTTACATATTATTACAAGCTTGAAATGTACGTTACCTACTCATATTCTGAGGCAATCATGTCTTTATAGTGGTAATTGTGACATATAACACAATGTGATTACATAGAGAATCTTTTTTGGAATAAACTGAAACAAAACGATGAATTTTTAGATGAATTTTAAGCTTTTTATTAAACAGAAATATATCTTGAAATGTACGTTACATTTACATAGTTTTCTAAATCGGCATGGATATATGTTAAAAAAGACAGTAACTACAAAATAGAATTTTACTACATGTACATGTTAGGTTCCAGTATCTATAGAAAATGACAAGATTCCAAACTGATCGCTCTAAACAAAACAGAGAGAAGAATTTAAAGCATATATTTAAAAAATGTTTTTATACATTTGGATCAAAAAGTAACCTTTGTTTTTTTAAAGGAAAAATCAAACGCACGTTCGAATGCCGAGAGAATATGTTGCTGACAGAGTTTGTAGGATGTGCTGGTGTTAAGATGAGATATTCCAATTGTGATTTTAATGACTACATTTTTTTGACATATCTTTTTGGACATTGAAGAAAGAGTAACGTACATTTCAAGCTACATTTCTGAATAAAATCACCCTCTACTTTATCGTCTTGTCATAATTCCATGTATTATAATTTGATGAAAAAAATCTGGATACAAAATCTTCAGATGCTTTCTTTCAAAGGTAATTGATAGAAAAATTGTTATCTTGAACTTCATTTTTAAAAAAATCAGAGAGGCATTTGTGCCCTTATATTGAGAATGGGTGTTAAATCCTTGGGTTCAGAAATGGCAAAAAGTTGAAGGGCTTCAAATTTAGACCTTTACCTTTTACATGGGACTGAAGACCATTGTGCAGTGAGGAATCTTTATATCTAAATCAGTTGAGCGCTTGATCAGTAATCGGAAGATTGTGTTTTGAACCTCTGCTTCGACTGACCTACATGTAAGACCAAAAAAAAAGGAAAATTTTTCTTAACCAAGAACTCGCCAGTTAGAAGAGAGAGTGGCAGGTTTTTGGGATGAAGCTTCATAAACTGAAGCTATATGTCACGGCGAGCATTGACATTACATAGAACAATGCTCAATATCTCGGAGTGCGGTCCTACTAAACAGAGTACGCTTGTAAAATTTTATAATTTGATGCAATTTAACTGCTTTTTAGCTCACCTGGGGCCCATTTCATCAAAAGTCGTAATGTTAAGCCTTAACTTAGGCGTACTTCCGGGGCTTACGCCAAAATTTAGTCGGGCGTAATTTGCGTTTCACCAAGTGGCGTAAGTCTAGTCGTAAAAGATACGCTTAGTCACAGGACTAAGTCCTTGACAACGTTGCATTGCGCAGGTGCAAAAACATAAACATTGCCCAATGCGTACAAACATGTATAAATTGTAGCACTTCAAAGTACATAATAACACAAATTATAGATAAATTAATACTTGCACTAATTGAAACATGCATGGGTTTATAGTGTCATGTAGGAGACATGTATCTTATAAGGTACAAATTTCAGTTTGTGTTTTTTTTTTTTACAACATTTCAATAATAAAAGTCTAACTAGACTTATAAATTGAAAGGAAGAAAAGGACCGTATATGTACATGTATTTTGGAATAAAGCAAAACTTTATTTTGGAATTTTAATTACAGCCACTCCCCCCTCTTCCCGAAATTGATACAGGTTAATGACTTCGCTTTGGTAATAAATTTCATGATAAATACTGATTCTACTGATAAATACTAATAATTAAGTTTGAGACAGAATAAGATTTAAAAATTTTCATAAGAAATGTATATGCAAGCAAAAATAATGAATACAAAATGCAAACGGTTTACATAAGTACACAATTTGAGTCAAGAAATAAATTTTACACTGTACTACTAAGGTACGTGAAAGATAATCCTCTCTAAATTTATTGAATTTCTGTCAATTCAAATGATTCATAATGACATTGTTATTGTTTATTAAAATGAAATATTAAAATGATATAATTACAAAACACTAGACTCTAGGTCGTGCAGTTATAGAAATTTTTTTTACTATCTGCAGATTAAATGTTATGTACCGTTTTAAAAGTACGAGAGAGAGAGAGAGAGAGAGAGAGAGAGAGAGAGAGAGAGAGATTCGAAAAAATGGCTACAAAGATATTCTTACCAAAATGCTCTGCTTGTGTGGTCTCTGTCTTTAAAATAAAGTTAAAGCTACTCTTTATTTTGTTTTCATTAAAAATGTAAGTTATGCAGGAAATCAAAAACATGTATATTTTCATCTTATGTGCTTCATATGCGCTCAGATTATCTTATACTAATGTAAAATTTAATCTTTAAACAAAATCATGAAAATTAATGATGGCTTCTGCATCAATGTTGTCTGAGAAAAAAAGAATTAGGAATTAATTCTTGAACTTAACTGTGTAATTATTACCATCTTACATCGATATTATAAAAGCAATAATATATTTCCCCATTTCAAAATCTCTTATTGTTTATGAAACCCCCTCCCCTTCCCTGGGTTCCGTCTTAGATTCGCCAGGAAGTTCATTTGTCCCAGATACCTAGAAAAAATAATTACTTAATTTCCTCCTTAACTGAGTACACTGTACATTCAATGTTAATTAATCTGCAAATTCGGGAGATTCTGAACCCTCTCTCCGACCCCCTCTAGATCCACGCATGTAGACGAGAAGTAAATAAGAAATGGACTCTTCAAACATGACAAAAAACTATTTGGTTTTAAAATGGTTTTTGTTTTTTTTGAAATCTTTTCTTAAATGTACAAAATTACCAGAAAGAGGATTACTATGCTTTTGAAACCGATTTGGTTTTTAGCTCACCTGAGCCGAAGGCTTAAGTGAGCTTTTCTGATCACATTTTGTCCGGCGTCCGTCTGTCTGTCTGTCTGTCCGTCCGTGTTTACGAGAGTGCATTTATTGGGTATTTTTCATGCCAAGATTGTACTTATTGGGTACTTTTTGCTTATTGGGTATACCCAATAAGAAGTGTCGCTGAATATGCTTAAAACATCCTAATTGGGTATTTGCAGGTTAGTACCCAACAAAACTTGGACACGACGATTTGTCCAAAAAAGTGTCCAAAAAAGTTGCTTTCACGGACGCACCGTGTTTTGTTGTTTCAGTTTTACATTCGGAACTCTAAATTCTCGAGAGTTCCGAAAATCAACTTCCGTTGATCCTGATCATAACAATGTTTGTTTTCATGGAAAAAAATGTGGCGACTAAGAAACACTTAATGTCAACAAGATTTTCTGATTGACAAGAGAAAAGGTAAGTTTATTCGATTAATATTTATCCATTGCTGGCTTCTTGTTTAAGGAAAATAGATTTTAATGTAATTTTCAAAACAATTGTGCACAAAATTAAAATAGATATATCGGAACAATTAATCCTAAGTTGCATTTGTTTGTATTTTGAATTTTCTCTGTCTTTTTAACTCTCTTGAGGGCGAGAAGTATTTAATGATCGTATATTGTTAGATAATCTTTAATAAATCTAAAGTGTTTATTATTTAATTTTATATCATAACCAACGAAGTATGTTCTGACAATGTATATTGGAAAGGGAAATGAAAATTTTAACAATCGTGTGTTCATAAATCAGCTGTAAATTATCGGTTCATCTAGACAGTATTACAATCGCAAAGTGAGCGGAGATGATGATAAATGGGATAATTGACAACAACTAAATAATTGTATGTAAGTTTATCTCATCTGATATGTAACTTAAAAGATTCATTGTATTACTGAAAAACTTTCATTAAAAACAGTGCTTCGTTCTGTCTTTGATTTTGACTGAGTGTCTGCTTTATTTTGATTTTTTTTTTTTTAATTATTGTTTTTGTCATTTGTTTTAATTAATTTAAAACAATACTGAAATTGATATAGGGCTACTATAACTATTTCACATGATGGGTACACGTGTAATTAGCATCGCGCTACACCCGGGGCTTCCATTTTTGAGGATGGGGCTAGTGGTTTTCTGCACTGAGGAATCCCCTTAGGCTATTAAGAATTTTAAAATACACATGTAATACATGAAAAGCACCACCGGTATTTTCACTCTTTTTTGCTATTAAATTCCCTAATATGGAAATATTCCAGACAGCATGCTCATAGTATCCATAAATCTCCAGAACTGCATCCATTTTGCAGTACTACAAGACTGATTTACTTAAAAACGATCTTTTATTTCCTAATTTGAATTCCTCCCTTTCCTTTGTTTAATATAGCAATATTTGCTTGTACATATATGCCTCACAGATATCTCATTATTAAATTATATACATTCACTCAATCAGCTCAATGATAAGTGTCATGCAATTATGTAGCGTTTTTTTAAAGCCATATATGGCGTAACTGATCAAAAAATATATTTTTGAAAAATACAAAATTAAGTAAAGAAATATAGTTAATACATTTAAATTAAAGCTTTTCATACAATTCGGAGCACGGAGAACACCTCGTTTTATCTAATAATTCGATTTTATCTTCTCTGTAATGTGTTATTTAAATCTTTTGTATTTTCTTCCAAGTCGGAGAAAAATCCGAGAATCCAAATTAAATTTTGATATCTTTATAACGCAATTGACTTAGATTTTGTAATTTACGGAAAATTTTTATCTTTATCATGTCTATATAAAGTAATGATACAAATAATAAGTTCTTATAATTTTAGTCTAATAATTTTCATTTTACATACGCCATATATGGCTTTAAATGATTCAAAATGAAAACAAAATGATTTTTGCTTCGTTTTGATTAGACGAACTAGAGAATGACCAGAAAAGGAATATTTAGAATCTTTTTTTCATTTTTTTAAATCATTAATTTATATATGATTAAATTTTACAAGCGAAAATTAAATTAAACTTTAATTTTAAAAAGAATCATCTGTAGTTAATACCCAGGGGCCCGTTTCATCAAAGGTCGTAGCGCTACGCCTGCGTAAAGTCTGGACTAGCACGAATATTTGCATTTGATTAAAGAGCGTATCATTACGCCTGACTAAATTTAGGCCAAAATTTTACGTCTACTCATGGGTAGGCGTAAGTTTAGGGCGTAAAGTTAAAATAAGGCCTTTTTATTAATTTTAGCGAGTTCTAAAGAAAAAGCAAGGTTCTAAGAAGAATTTAAAATACAAACAATGCATTATTTAATTATACATATTATGAAGAGGAGGAGGGGGGATGTGTTGTTACAACTACTTGGGGACGTAGTTGATTTGAGTAATAACGTACTCAAATAATATTTTGATAAATTTCTGCTGAGAAGAAACGATTGTCTTATTAGAGATTTCTTACGTTTTGACAATGCATTCATACACATTTGATTGTGGTATTGTATGTCTAAGGTGTTGTAAATCAATTTACATATATAACTGTATTTCTACACCCCGCTTGAAAAGCGGGACGGTACATGTATATGTACATGTATATACTATTAAGTAATCGGGATGTCCGTCCGTCCATCTGTTACGCTTTGTGGGTACCCATCTCTATCCGCAACTCCTTTCATATCACTGATTGAAATTTGGTGAAATTTTCACAGAATCTTTATTCTATATTGCCATTATGCCTTATTGTACTTTTTGATCCGACACATATTTTGGGTTTCCCACAGCGAAACATGGACATTGCCATAATATTTATATGGAAGGCGGGGGGATATCTTTTATTGAATTCATTGCTTACGGTACCTCTAGTTTCTTTTTCATTTACTAAAAAGAGACCCATTAAAATTGTCTATTTTGAAAAATATTTTCGAACAGCATATTTTCTGAAAAAAAAATCGGTTTCAAAAGCATAGTTATCATCTTTCATGTAATTTTCTACATTTAAGAAAAAAAATTCAAAAAAATAACCCATCTTAAAACCAAATAGTTTTTGTCATGTTTGAAGAGTCCATTTCTTATTTACTTCTCGTCCACATGCGTGGATCCAGAGGGGGTCGGAGAGAGGGTTCAGAATCTCCCGAATTTGCAGATTAATTAAAATTGAATGTACAGATTACTTAGTTAAGGACGAAAGTAATTATTTTCCTAGGTATCTGTGACAAGTGATGTTCCCGGCGAATCATAGACCCCAACCCAGGGAGGGGGTTGGGGTCTCATAGACAATAAGAGATTTTTGAAAGTGGTAATAAATTATTGCTTTTATAATATCGATGTAAGACGGTGATAATTACAAAGTTAAGTTCAAGAATGAATTATTCATATTTTTCTTCTTAGACAAACATTGATGCAGAAGACATCTTAAATTTTCATAATTTTGTTTAAAAGAGCTAATCTTACATAGTCTAAGATAATCTGAGCGCATATAAAGCACATATAAGATGAAAATATACATGTTTTTGATTTCCTGCATTACTTACATTTTAATGAAAACAAAATAAAGAGTAGCTGTAACTAAATTTTAAAGACAGAGACCACACAAGCAGAGAATTTTTGTAAGAATATCTTTGTAGTCATTTTTCCAACCCCCCCCCCTCTCTCTCTCTCTCTCTCTCTCTCTCTCTCTCTCTCTCTCTCTCTCTCTCTCTCTCTCTCTGCGTACTTTTAAAACGGTACATCACATTTAATCTGCAGATAGTAAAGATTTTTTTTCTACAACTGAACAATTATGAATCGACAAAAAAAAATAAATACAGAGAGGATTATCTTAAAAGCAATTATGTACTATGTACCGTAGTAGTAAACGTATAAAATTTATTTCTTGACTCAAAATGTGTTCATAGGTAAACCGTTTGCATTTTGTTTTCATTATTTTTGCTTGCATATACATTTCTTATTAAAATTTTTAAATCTTATTTTGTCTCAAATTTAATTATTAGTATTTGTCAGTAGAATCAGTATTTATCGAATCATGAAATTTATTATCAAAGGCGAAGTTATTAACCTGTATCAATTTCGGGAAGAGGGGGTATGGCTGTAATTAAATTTCCAAAATGAATAGTTTTGCTTAATTCCGAAATACAAGTACATGTACTGTCCTTTTCATCCTTTCAATTCATTAGACTTTTATTATTGAAATATTGTAAAAAACTAAAATTGGTTTCTTAAAAGACGCATGTCTCTTACACAACACAATAAACCCATGCATGTTTCAGTAAGTGCAAGTATTAATTTATCTATAACTTGTGTTATTCTGTAATTTGACGTGCTACAATTTATACATATTTGTACGCTTTGGGCAATGTCTATGTTTTTGCGCCTGCGCAATGCAACGTTGTCAAGGACTTAGTCCTGTGACTAAGCGTATCTTTTACGACTAGACTTACGCCACTTGGTGAAACGCAAATTACGCCCGACTAAATTTTGGCGTAATCCCCGGAAGTACACCTAAGTTAAGGCTTAACTTGACGACTTTTGATGAAACGGGCCCCTGACTTTTTTCACGATGAACTTTTTTTTCAATGTTACTTTCTAATTTTTGCCTCTATATTTGGGCTTGTCACTTTTTACTCGGGGATAGTAGCTTTATTGCCACAAAGCTGTGGATTAGTACTTGATTTCCTTTATTGCACAGCGATGACTATGATTTAATAGCACACAAAGCTAATGGGTTTACGTATGTGAATTCATATGATTAATGCTTACTTGTGATTTTAGGATAACTGGAGATAATGATTCCTTTTTTCCATTGATATTACATAAATATTTTCCTAAGTATTATGTTACAATAAATTGGTTTAGATTTTTTTTTATAAAAGTAATCAATAATTACAATGGAATTTAAAACCATAATCATGTTCAAGGATTTTCAATATGTAACAGGTCAAACAGGAACTTCAATTGTGAACATTGCAGAGAACACACCCATTAGAAGATGACCCTCAGAAATAGGACAATTGTAAGTAATCAGTAAAATGAACAGGAATACTTCATGCCAACCATAAAATTTTTAGAGACATTTTCGCTTCTTAAATTAGAAGAGATAGAGGGTAAAACTTGTACATACTACATAACTACTAGGCAACCGACCTTTAACTACAGGAAAGCTTTTGATATGTGCAATACAGCTACATAAAACCTCTTTAGTATTCATGTTAAGTTTAAGAAAGTACCTTAGTATTTTTTCTAGTGTTTGCCAACATTTTCATGCACACTGTTTGCTTGTTTGTACTATCATTTTATTTTAAATTCTTCAGATGCCCTTTACCTTTGCCAGTTTAGAATCATTTGTTTTAAGGGCATCTGAGGGTTGGTTCCAGAACTTAATTAATTGTAAAGTAAATACTGGGGTACTATACGGTCATAGGTTATGTTAATACATGTATAACATTTTGTTCTGATAGAGGTGGCATACAGGGAAAAAAAACAATACTAGATATCACTTCAAAAGAATGAAACAGCTTCATCTTGTAGGTGTATTTTATTTAAGGATCACTACTTCATGTCTGATGTGCTGAAAGTTATTCATAATCTGTTTGACTGTAATTGTTCTTATTTTCAACTTCTATCCAGTTTAGTCAATTTTAATTACATACCCCAGGAAGGGGGGATGGAGTGTCAAGTGTGTCTCTGTCCCTGTCAATATAATTTCAAAGCAGTTAGTAAGGTTTGAGTCAATTTTAAATCCTCTTTAAGCCATTGGGCTAAATACAATACTAGTGTGAAAGCTTTATCATTAAGTGTAGAGATGTTTTTGAAGATTATGTACCCCTAATGTACTGATAGTGTTACATTAGAAGTCTAAAATTTGCAAGGAATAGGTGTAAAATCTTTTTTAAATCTACTTCTTAACAATCAGAAACTAGCATACTGTCTAATTCATATGCAGCATCGTTTTGTGTGTTGAATGATGATTATGATTCCATTTTGATAAAATTATGGCGGATGGGGGGTAGGATGAAGATGCAGTTAGACATAGAAGAAAAAAAAAGAGTTGATAGAATTTAGTTTTTCTTCCATTTTATTTATCAATACATATTTCTGAATAAGAAATATACTTCTACTTCTTGGTTGGGTTTGATCAACATAAAGGGTGATCTTGCTGTAGTCAAGAAAAAACATGTTTTATACGGCAAAGAAATGCCTTTATCTAATTGCAGAATGAATAAAATGGACAGAGGCAGAACTGAAGGAGATGCATGAAATGAGGAATATTTCAAAGATTGCCTGAGCATAACCACTGCTACTGGATAAACATATGGCAATATAAAAGAGCAGGGTCAATGGAGGTATCATACAGTATAGGCCATGGGAGACCCTGAAGAAGAAAGTATTGAACAGAAACACAAATAAAACCATTTTGACATTTATTGAAATATAGGATCAAAGTCTTACATGTAAAATTTGGGCATGTAATGACTTTTCTCTAGCTCTAAGACTGATTTGATTTAATATCTTTATCCCAATTTGTCGAAAAGATTTGGACATAGTGCATCAGTTATTTTAAAGTTTTGATACAACGAATTCATTCATTGTACTTGTAACTGAGTTTTTTGGTGCGACACTGTTTTATCGGCTTCAAAACTAAGTTTGTGATTTCCAAACCAGATTAATGAGATCATGTAATATCTTTTAACATCGGTGACTATTTAATCCATTCTTTTACATCTCAGAAGTATTTTTGTTATTACAGGGAAAATATGCATTGTACATGTATCTGTAATAAACAGGATTATAGAAATTTTCCATATAATACAACACAATCTTAGCAACTGAAGGCAAATATTTTATCAAGGGTGTGATCTATTTATCAATATGGTTTTCAGCATCTTGCTCTACCTGTACTGACTTGCTCCAAATTCCAATATTTATATTTAAATTTTGCAAACATGGTTATAAAATTCTTTAACAGCCAAATAGTTTAGGCACAAAATGCTTATACATTTCCTATCATTTGTAAAGTGTACACTGAATGAGATGTGGAATGTTAGAATTAAAGTATTAAATATGTTTTGGACTTATGTATGCTTATGCAGATAAATTTGAATTCAATTAGGGAAGGTAAATGTCATATTTATTGGGTTTGCAATCTAATGCAAGAGTATAAATATCCAAGACAAATTTGACAATTTTAATGAAGGGTATAAGTAACCCAAGAAGAATTGGACAGGTAAACATCACTTGTTGGGTTTTATTCTAATGTTGGGATGTAATATCCAAGAAGAGTTAAACCAATGTCCAATACCTATTGGGTTTTATTTCTTATTAAAAAAAATTGAGTAACCCAAGAGGAATGTCCAATACCTTTTAGTTTATATACTATTGAAGGGATGAAAATATCCAAGAGGAATTGGACAGGTGTCCATTACATGTTGGGTAGTATTCTGATGAAGGGATTCTCAAGAAACCCAAGAATTAGACAAGTGTCCATTGCCTGTTGGGTGGGATGTAGATATCCAAGAGGATTTGGACGGATGTCCATTACCTGTTGGATGGTATTCTGATGAAACAATTCAAGAAACCCAAGAAGAATTGGACAAGTGTTCATTACCTGTTGGGTGAGATGTAGATATCCAAGAGGAGTTGGACAGGAGTCCATTACTTGTTGGGTGGTATTCTGATGAAAAAATTCAAGAAAACCAAGAAGAATTTGACAAGTGTCCATTACCTGTTGGGTGGGATGTAGATATCCAAGAGGAGTTGGACAAGTGTCCATTACCTGTTGGGTTGTATTTTGATGATGCAATTCAAGAAACCCAAGAATTAGACAAGTGTCCATTGCCTGTTGGGTGGGATGTAGATATCCAAGAGGAGTTGGACAGATGTCCATTACCTGTTGGGTGGTATTCTGATGAAACAATTCAAGAAACCCAAGAAGAATTGGACAAGTGTCCATTACCTGTTGGGTGAGATGTAGATATCCAAGAGGAGTTGGACAGGTGTCCATTACCTGTTGGGTGGTATTCTGATGAAACAATTCAAGAAACCCAAGAAGAATTTGACAAGTGTCCATTACCTGTTGGGTGGGATAAAGATATCCAAGAGGAGTTGGACAAGTATCAATTACCTGTTGGGTTGTGATGAGGAGATTCAAGAAACCCAAATAGAATTGGACAATGTACACATGTTCAAGAAATCCCCCAAAATATAACCCAAAGGTTAGACAATGCCTGTGTCCATTGTCAAACATGTAATGGGTATTTGCTTATTATTAATTGGTCATGACTCAAAAAGGTTTCTCCTTTAATACTTAATTTTGTTATTCAAGATAGGTTGAATAGAGTCTGAGATGTGTTGAGTTGTGTTTTCACAATTCAGTTTTTTTGCACTTAGGTATTCATATATTAAAATATTAGTTATTTTGAAATATACAGGTGAATATCCTTATTGCTAAGAACAAATTAGTTAGGTGTTACAATATAAGAGCTACCGTATTTGGCCCCAAGAAGAAGTCTTGGAAAAAAACAGTTCGGATGTATTATACGCAACAGAAAAATTTACCAAGCGATGTTCTGAACTATGAAAATCACGGTAATTTGTTACGAAAATCGGCGCGAGGATTAGGTGTCAAAAATTTACTGAACACACTTTTTTTTTAAAATACACACTTTATAACTTTCTCTTAATCCTGACATTCCATATCGCGGCAATCTGGAGAAAATTATTTATTCATTTATTTCAACAAAGCACAAGATAATGTTGCGTAAAAGTATTAACAGATTTTTTTAAAGAACAGTTACGGTGATTTTGAAATTATGCGTCGCCATATTCTTAGATGAAATAATTTTATTTCAACAAAGCAAGAGATATTGTCGAAAGTTTTATCAGTTGTCATATTTAATTTTGGTTCTAGATAATCATGCTTAAAATTATCTTACAATATTTTAACAGGAAACGAAATTGAAACATCAAAGTATTTATTTCTTTAAGAAGACTATGATTTTCCTCTTCTGAATCTTCGCGGATATCTTATTTTCTAAATAATACCACTTTTATTAAAAGTTTTAACATAATTTATATTTCATAACTCTCAATTATTTAAACAAGAGGCCGATAAGTATAAGATAAGGTAAAATTACATTTAACAAGTGTTTAATTGTTTAAGTGCCGTAATCAACACATGCTCACACATACGAAAGGTCATAAACCGACCCCCAATTTTTAACAAAGAAAATAATCACAGCAATTAACATGGCAGTAAATAATCAGTGCTCTAACTGTAAAAACATTGCTTTATTTAGGGGTGTTTGGTAATTATCATTTCACGTGACTCAAAAAGGTTTCTGAGTTATTTTAAACCTAAAATTAATATTTATTTTATATTTCTAAAAAATGATTTAAGAGATGTGTTGACATAGCTATGAGTGTGTTTTCGGAGACAATTGCAGCTCAAATTTTTTGCACTTTTTCTTATTTGGGCATAAAAAGATTATTCATATATTAAAATATTAGTTATTTTGAAATATACAGGTGAATATCCTTATTGCTAAGAAAAACAAATTATGTTAGGTGTTACAGAAATTTATAGGAAAAAAGAGCTATATCACAGAAATTGACAAAAATATGGGTTCAAAACCAAAGGTTTTCAATCTTGTCTTAATTTACCAGCAAATATTAAATATATAATAAATTTGAAATGAATAAAAAACAATAAGAAAAAACCCAATAAAATACGGACACGAGGATTAATATCCAATAAGATTTGAACAGTAACTACCCAAATAATGCTCTCTCGTGTGTACACTTTTTTTGTATCCAATAAGCAGTATCCAATAGGACTTGGACTTGATGTACCCAATATATAACCAAATGTGTGTCTGTCCGTCTGTCTGTCTGTCCATCTGTCTGTAAACTTTTCACATTTTCGACTTCTTCTCAAGAACCGCTGGGCCAATTTCAATCAAACTTGGCACAAAGTATCCTTGGGTGAAGGGGATTCAAGTTTATCAAATGAAGGGCCACGTCCTTTTCCAAGGGGAGATAATTATATATTAGAGAAAAAATTATGGCATTTTTAAAAAATCATCTTCTGAAGAACCACTGGGCCAGGAAAGATGAAACTCATGTGAAATCATCCTCAGGTAATGTAGATTCAAGTTTGTTCAAATCATGGCCCCCGGGGGTAGGGTGGGGCCAAAATGGCCGATCAAAGTTTTACATAGTATTATATAGGAAAAGTCTTTAAAAATCTTCTTCTCAAGGACCACTGGGACAGCAAAGATGAAACTCATGTGGAATCATGCTCAGGATAATGTAGATGTTAAGTTTGATAAAATCATGACCCCCGGGGCTAGGGCGGGGCCAAAATGGCCGACCCAAGTTTTACATAGGAATATATAGGAAAAATCTTTAAAAATCTTCTTCTCAAGAACCACTAGGCCAGGAAAGATGAAACTCATGTGGAATCATCCTCAGGTAGTGTAAATTCATATTTATTCAAATCATGACCCCTGGAGCTAGGGTGGGGCCAAAATGGCCGACCCAAATTTTACATAGGGATCTATAGGGAAATCTTTTAAAATCTTCTTTTCAAGTACTTCAAAGCTATGACTAGTGATATTTATATGGAATCATCCTCAGATAGTGTAGATTCTAGTTTGCTCAAATGATGAATGCCTGGGGGGGTTAAATTCAAGCCTGATGTGCTCAGGTGAGCGCTGTGGCCCCTGGGCCTCTTGTTTTTTTTTTTTTTTTTGGTTAATTTTGTTTGTCAGAAAATATGTTTTTGGGAAAATATTTTCTTTCAAAATAGACAGTTTTAATGGGTCTCTTTTTAGTGAATGAAACAGAAACTAGAGGTACCGTAAGGAATGAGTTCAATTAAGCACTGAATTCATATTTTTGGCTGTCTTCGGTCCTATAACACACCTGGCCGTGCCGACAAATTGAATACCGCGCGTTAGCGCGGTATGATAAATTTGTCGGCACGGCCAGGTGTGTTATAGGACCGAAGACAGCAAAAAATATGAATTCAATGCTTATATTTACATTCTCTAATTTTCCTTCTTCATAATTGCTTATTTCGTTAATCTTTAATGTGAATTTAACGCCCTTCAAAACTGACGCAGTTAATAGACGTAAGAGCCATTTGTGACGTCAGATGACGTTGCAAAGTTAAATAACGCAAACAAACATTGCGTGGGGAAAAAGTGACAAATTTATTTTAAACGCAAATTTGTAGTATTATTACGTTAATTTAAGAGGATTATAGTTTTTAATTAAATTGAGTCAAAACATTGTACATTTTGGTGTTCCCAGATTATAGAAAATGCATATACAATGTAGTTCCTACTGTGTATTCTAACACGCGGTGACAAGGTTTCGCGTGTGTTATAGAAATCTGAATGTCGTGGATTTCTAATGAATT